CATAAAAAAGCGAGCTCTTTCTTTTTCTTCATTTCTATCGCCCTCCGGGTGACCATGTCTGAAGTGGCATCGAAATGCTTGTGGGAAAGGTTACTGCGTTTGAGAATCAGGTGAGTATGAGTAATAGGCTCCTGCTATGAAACATTAGTGACCACCCCCTTATCCTTTCTTGGTAGTCATAACAAGAGCACCCCATGACGACGACGACGATAATGAAGATGTTGATGACGATGATGATGATCTGCATGTAATTCAATCTAATTAAGTAAATGTTACTTCAATATTCTTCGAAAATCCATCGTCAAGCAATGCTACTTGACAGGAGCTGGGCTCCTGTAGTTGACCAATATACACGAACACAACAGGAGTTATCACCAACCATAGGTACATCGAGCGATACCTCATACATCACTGGGGTACATTGACAATTAGGCGCCTCGCACCTGTAACAAGGCTTCATCGGATTGGTTGGAAAACTATAAACAAACAAAAGGAAAAATGTAACCTGGCCACAAAACAAAAGAGCTGCCACGTAGGGTTCCAATAGGATTAGTGGTTTTTTTAAAAGAGATGCTAGGCTACTGTTCAAAATGCGCCCCCAACCCCCGAATCAACTTGTGTTTGCCCTCTGAAATACCACGTGATCTTCAAATTCTCTTGGTACAATTGAAGACACTGTTAAACCCGGGATAAATTTTTAAAATGAAGATCTTATCGTCGAAGAGGTTATTGCAATTTACTCAGGGGTTAAGATTCGCCCGCTCCCAATGTACGGGTCTTCATAGCTCAAATGGTAGAGCACTGCCGCGCTAACGCAGAGGCCATGGGTTCGAATCAGTAATCACCGTTGACGTAGCGAAATTTTTTTGCGTTTATTTGCAATTGCTTAAATTGCAATTACCACTGCGACAATCATTTCTTCATTTAAAATTTGTATTTCCGTAGTCCACATCATCTCCATTAGGAGAAATTGAAAACAAAAAATTACACACAATTGAATACACGTGATAATTGCGCAAAACGTAGGAATGCGTGACGAGCCGTAAACAAATGGTGTCGAAATTATAATTGTAGGTTGTACTGTTACACGTTAGCTGCGCCTCGTTACCTGCCGGAAGGAACAGCAGTCTCTGGGTATTTAACATTAGTACCACTAGCACTGCACTGGTAAGCAGGAATCTCCACTGCACTGCTCTCATCGAACTTGTGGCAGGTAAGTGTCGAAAACTGCGTCGATTTATTTTGTTTTCAAACTTCTTCCCGGTTTCTAGTCGTCACCTCCAGAGAGCTAGGACGGTTTTTAATTACGTATGTCCTTAGTCTGAATTTCCAAACCTGTCGTTTCGCGCATTGACGAGAAAGCCATGTCGCTCTCGGTGTTTTTACTATTGTATTTGCGCTTTTCCCTTTCGCTGTCGCAATTTCAACCCAGCTTTCTGTTGTTTATCGCCATTTCTGCTGTCCTATTTCGCTGTTTCAAGGGCACGTCGCTTGTCGAACAACATAGCCTCAAAGCTCCGCTAGGGAACCAAAGCGTATACATGAAAGAAACCGAACCTAAGCTTGTTAAAGTTTGAAACATTCATTCACAAAAATTCGTCGAGAGCATCACGGATTAATAACCTGACTTAACGGTTTGAAAATTTGGTCCTTGCGAACACAACTCTTATAGTTAGCCCAGTCTGTAGTCAGCCAGAAATGCAAATTACGGCTGTTGTTCGATCGGTTGCGCAAACACAGCGAGCGGTATTTGGTATAATTTTATTTAAGTTTACTTGGGTGAAATTCGTAAAACTGATCGACCATCTAAGTATTTTCCGTCATCGAACAAGGATTAATCAGTCTACTACTTCTGAGGTCTTCCCTGGTAATCAAGCTTTGTCTAATCAGCTATAAAATATGGTTGGTTTCTTTCTCTTTTTAATTTGTTGTTAAAATCACAATATTGACCTCTGTTATTGTGAAAACTGAACTTTTGTTAATTGGTGGCCGGTTCACTTGGGCCGCCTCAAATGTGACCATGCTGGGATTTAGTGGCATAATTTCTTTTCCTTCATGTAATTTTCCAGCACGCGCAATTTCGCAATCACTACCTTGATTATAGCCATCGAGTAACTTGTAACGAGGCATTATTGTTTGGCTTAATTTTTACACGTTTACTTTAGGAGTAGATTTATTTTGGAGACAAAGAAGATTTTCCTTTCTGGGCATTTTATATGGCTATTTATGACTCCGAAATCTCCGTTGAGTTCCGGGGGGTAGTCAATAACGTTTTATACGGGGAGGCTCCGCCCCGCCGTCCAACACAGGCAAACACCTTTAATACGGGCAATGAAGGGGCCATAGAAAATGTCCGTATTAACCGGGTGTCCATATTAACCGGGTCATGTTATTCAAGTAAAAAAGACACCTTTTATTAGAACAAAATACTAACGAAATAAAAGACGACATTAGCATGGTCAAATTAATTAAGATCTCTAATCTTCTCAAATCCGTCATTTCGCGGAAAAATCCACGGAAACACTCTGAAATCGCTCAGCTATATACTACTTAAAACAAAACTGATCTCTGCATAACTCTTTTGATGCCAAAATAGTCTGAAATTAACGTCTACAAATCCTTTCTGGTGTAATGAAGCACTAGGAACATCGTCACGATGTCACCCAAGGGCATTTTTTTACCTTCAGAATGTAAAGTGCCCGTATTAGCAAGGTTTACGTTGTATGAGAATTTGTTAGTAGGGCAAGTGTCCGATGTCCGCGTTAATGGGTGTCCGTATTTAAGCGGGTTGAATTAGAGAAAATGTAAGGACTTTCTCACAGGAAAAAATAACGGATTCCCATTTTTGGATATTTTAGGGTATTTAAAGAATACCCATAAAAATCCCAAATTTGGCAAAGTGAGACAAGTCCCAACCAGGGAATTTCCAACCAAGTTCCCTGATTGGGACTTGTCTCACTTTGCCAAATTTGGGATTTTTGTGGGTATTCTTTAAATACCCTAAAATATCCAAAAATAGGAATCCGTTATTTTCTCCTGTGTCTCCCCAGGGACAAAGAAAACTGTCTGTAATAACGAGGTGTCCGTATTAAGCGGGTATCCGAAAAGCGGGTTCAACTGTACAATTTCTGACAGATAAAGTACTCCTTTCATATACCTTCTGTTATGGCAAATGGTTGCCCTTTCACAGTTTTTAGTTTGGAACTTTTTGGTTTAGAACCATCTCTTTTAACTTCCGTAAATGAAATGTCTTAAATATGAATAAATCACAAAATCTCGACTTATTCACAGGGTTAAAATACATCATGCCCAGTTATCCCTTTTGTCAGAACGGAATGACAGATTTCCCTACTCTTTCATATACTTGAACAAGTGAAATTGCCTACCCTTTCATATCCCTGAAGCCTGAAAAGGTACCCCTTTCTTATACCTTCTATAGACAAGTGGTACCCCTTTCGGGCGGAACCTCCCTGTATAGGCCATCATAGGGAGTACCTGCTCGGGTGTTGGCTGAAGCTGTTGCTGAAAATCTTGCCATTGCTTAACCCTTTGCGCCCTAAGAGTGATCAGCATCAAAATCCTCCTTGTAATATCAATGTTTTGTAAAACAAAGTGGTCATGAGAATAACGGACATGATCACACAAGATTTGCTTGATATTTTATCAACTTCTCCCCACTACTTCTGTCGGACATGAATAAGGGCAAGAAATGATAATTCAAATTTTGAATTGGTTCAAAGGGTTAAGAAAGTATCGAAAAATAAATATTATAAATGATACTCAAACGTCCACGGGTCCGTTCTTAAAATGCGTAGGATGAAATAACCCGTCTAAACCGCTTGCTGACGGTTTGATAAAGCTCCAGAAACGGACAGACGGAGGGAAGGACGTTTTTTTCTTATTTTACGCCGCGAACCGTCAGTACAACACAGATAGCAAAACAAAAAAGAAAAAATTCGCTGGCATCCCGTCAGAGTTCCTTCACGCGTTTCTTGATCCAGGGTTCCTTGTCATTGAAACTTCTGGATTCCAATCCATAGCTGGAGTCCGGATTCCACGAGCAAAAATTTGTGATCGTTATACGTTCTTGGCAAACTGCCCACCAACCCCTCCCCTAAGCCAACATTTTTCCCAAAGTGAGGAGTAACTGTTAATGTTGGCTTAGGGAAGGGTTAGGTGGGTAGTTTCCCGGAAAAATATAATGATCCAAAATATGCCGGATTCTGGAATCCGGATTGCGTGACATGGGGTGATATACAGTCCTGAGTTTACGAGTCACAGGACTGCCTAAAAGAGCATTTAGCATCTAATTCTGATAAGCTCTGTCTTCAAAGGAGTCGTCAGGTCTATAAAATGAAAAATGGTTTGTAGACCAAGGCATACAATTTCGCGCATTTTCGCAGTAATTTTTTTTCGCGGGATTTAAATATTGCGACTATTTAGCAATCACGAAAATTAAGTCCGGCGAAATTATTACCAATAAAGTGCGAATTATCCCTCGAAGGACAAACCCAGCCAGAACTTTTGTCCTTTTTTAACACCTCGTGAAGCTGCCTAATGCAAATCTCCTGAAAATCATAATATGGAACAGTTTCTTTACATTTATTTACGTGAAGTTGGGTAAATATATTTTCAGGACTGATGTTTTTCATCATTTCGTCATATGAGGTCCAAAATGCGGTAGGACAAATCGAACTGGTCTGAAACAGGGTAGGATTTAGTCTTAGAAAGCATCAGTAACCCCCAGCCCCCGCCCCCCAGAATTACCCCTTTGTAGGCTTAAAGGGCATTGCCAGTGGCCATTGGGTCGCGTTGTCTGAGTGAGGGGCGGGGGTCAAAGACAGTGCCGTGGTCATAAACACTCAACCTCATTCCCAGGGTCTCTTTTGGAAGATGAGCTATCCTAGGAACGAGGCCATTTTTTACAAAAATGCAAAACAAGATTGCGAAAGTCAATATATTGTTGTTACTTTATCTTTACAGAAGTCACACTCAAAAACATGGACAGCGAAGTCAAGTACACCGATAGGTTTCTAAAACTGAACAGAGACTCTTCCGTGGAAGAATCGAAAATGGCTTATGATGAAATGGCGCCAAGCTGGGAGAAGGTATATAAATGCCGCGATAAATGGATTACTGTTCTGTGGTTTCGGGAGTTATACTTTACTTTTTTGACCTATAAAAAAGAAGACAATGTCAGCTTATTTAAAAAGTTGACCTGCCCCTTAAATTTGAAGGAGAATTAGAATTCGACCCTTGCAGTAGTCAGTTCGCTTCGCTTTGTGACTTTGCCGGATCGATAGTGGAAAACTGCCCACCTACCCCTCCCCTAACTCAACGTTGACATTTGCGTCTCGCTTCGGGCAAAATGTTGGGTTAGGGGAGGGGTAGGTGGGCAGTTTCCCAGAAACCTAAATTGGTCCACTTTCCCTTAACAGAACCTTGGGCTCGCCTCGGCTCATGCTTGTTTTCTCTTAAAGTTGTCGTTGTGTTTATATGCGAAGTCGGGTCGGCTCTTTTTCTGAGATCTCTCTTTGAGCAACCGAGATCAGGCTCGGTAAGTGAGCCAGCCTGCCTTTTCATATAAACACAGCGACAGTGTCAATAGTTATAAGGAAACAAGGCGAGGCGTTTGATCGCGCTGTGAGCACTGAACCGAGAGGCAGCTCGGTAAAGCGGGCTAGCGCGGCTAACCTGTCTGGCTTGCCTCATATAAACAGGTCCTAAGCCTCATCCGATAAATCCTAGCTACCTAGTTTCTCGCTTTTATTTTACTCTAAATGAAAAAAACTTCTGCTAATTTACTGTAATATTTAAAAAAGCGTACGTATCAGACGTATCTCTTTTTTCGTAGATAAGCGAAAATGTGGGTTACAAAGGTCACATTCTTTGCGTGGAGGCGTTTGATCGCGCTGTGAGCTCCAACGATGTTTATCCTAACCCCGCAAAAGACATAAAAATCCTTGACGCCGGAGCAGGCACAGGTGGGATTGGCGAGATGTTGAAAGCTCGAGGATACACTAATGTCGACGCACTGGATATTTCCCAGGAAATGTTAAATTTAGCGGCCGGTAAACATCTGTACAAGAAACTGATCTGTGCTCCGTTGTCCGACACGCATATGAAGGAGATAGAAACTGCTGAATATGACGTGGTGTTGTGTGCAGGCGTCATAGTGTATGGGCAAGTGAAGCCTGGGGCGATTGAGCAATGCGCGCGCTTCGTAAAACCCGGTATGTGATTTTCTTTTCTTGTGAGTGTAGTGAGAAGGAGTGAATGGTTTTGTGTTGTAGTTTAACTGTGCGCGCCCTTAGCCTGTTCCAGATAGTACAGCGCGGCGTACAGATGGTGGGGAGCGCGTTAAGTCGAAAGCGGGAGAAACGAGGGGAGAAAACCAGGGAAGACTGACTCCCTTTTCCCCCTTTCAGTCTTCCCTCGTTTTTTATATCTTCGTTAATTTTTATATTTTCAATGAACGTGGAAAAATACACGGGCCCTGAAGTTTTTGTTTACCCTAAGAAATATTCATGCACTGGTCTAAAAATGGGTGGGGGGGGTACAAAACAAATATTCGTTTGGAAAAAACGTCATGCGACTGGTCTAAAAAAATCCCAAGCCCTTCCATAAATTTTTTTAATGGTCCGTTCCTTAGTAATAACATTAAGTTATTGTAAACGTTGGTGCGTTCTCTCTTGAATATCTTAGTATTTTCTTGTGTTTCTTTTGTAGGTGGCCTGTTTATTTTCTCCATTCGTTGCGATTCCTATGACCCTGTAGAGTACGGCTATAGTGCCACATGCGAGAAATTAGAAAAATCAGGGAAATGGAAGCTGATACTGAAAGAAAAACGTGAGCTTCATTCAACACCAAACGAGGAACGATACCGTTATTGTTATCTTATCACGTATAAAGTGCTTCAGTAACAATTACATCGTAGTTGATAACTAAAACGAAACTATTTCGCTTCCATGACTGAGAGGTTCAACCCCCCCTCTCTAATATTCACGAATATTGTCAATATAGGTTCGTTGCATTAATAATAAAAGATTGAAAGAACTCCCTCGTTTGTTTTTTTAACTTTTACTTTGTAAGGCTTTATTGACGATATTTTTCTTATTTGACCCCGTTTTTTGACTTTTTTTCCCATTTTTCCTTATTTGAAAGGGCAGGGGCAGATCTAGGGAAGGGTGACTTTTTTCCCCCCACCCTGAGATGACCTGCGGTTTCTAACCTTGTCCCAAAAAAAAACAATTATGGGTTTATTGGTGCTGAAGTAAAGGAGACGTCAATTCCCTGGATCCGCCCTTGAAGGGGCGTCAATCGACCTCGACCTGACAAGTTTGAGCTTAGCTATTAGAGAGTTTAAACAAGCAATTTAAGCAAAGTGAATTAATGTGCTGTTTCAAACTTCCTCGCGCTTATTCCACGCCCTTCAATTATATTTTTCAGTCAAATGTCGGTGACTTTTTCTGGAATAGAACTTTTAATAAAGGACTGTCAAAGTTAAAAAAAAAAAAGTTAGAAAATCGTTGTCTTGCGTTCTGACGTCCATTAGAAAACGTGAAATCGGCCAATCTTCACGATGTGATCGTGAACGAGGGCAAAGACATGTCCAAAAAGGATTGATGTACGTGCGAAGTTATTGTTTTGACAAGTTACACTTATCGCGTTGTAATATTTTGAATGAATAATTCATTATGATAACACATACTCGTAGCTTTCTTAAAGTCCTCACCCTTTTCCTGTCAGAGAACTAGCTCCAACAGATTCTTGACACTTGAACGACTTTTCTCCAAGTTTGGCAAAGAAATTGATGAGGTTTAACTCTGATAATTTCACGCTATATTCCACGAAAAGAAGATATGGCAAACAAATTTGTTTATTGTGTTTGTTTCGCATTAGCGATATCTCACTTTACTTTACCTTTTGATATTTGCTAACCACAGGCTTTTTGGTTCATGAAACGAGTTCTTCTGTTTCAGTCGTACCAAGAGAAATTGAAGATTCCTTATGCAACATTTTTAGTGTTCCAGTCCTGTGCCGTGGGCGTGGGCGGGGGAGATGGGGTGGGGTTGGCGAAGTACTTCATGTATGATGGCCAATGTGAAAATGGTGAATCTGTCTTTACACTGAACGAAGGTGAGTTTGCTCTATTCATTTCATTGTCATAATTCAAGTTGAAATCTGCCTTTATTTAGTTAGAAGGGGAAAGCTGCTGGGTGTGATAATTACAAGCGATTTATCATGGAATGATCACGTTAACGATCCTAGTTTATGCACGCCTGTTTTCTTTTATGCTCTGCCCAAGTATTTACAGAGTGAGCTTGAGCGGGTCCAAACAAGGGCATTATCAATCATTTTCCCCAGTCTGTCTTATGACGAAGCACTTGATGAAGCCGGTATTCCAACCATTATTTCATATCGCGAGGATATATGTGTCAACGTTTTTAACCCTGCCCACGGCAACAGGGATAACAAACTTAATAACAAGTTATTAACTGAAGCCAATGAGGCTCCATATTCACTAAGAAGTCACAGACACTTTGCATTTCCAAAGAGGGAGACGGACCGTTTTAAGAACACTTTTATTTTGTCATCGTGCCTAAAGTACAATTAAATGATTCGGTTTTAATGCTTTTACTTGTTATATGCATGAATTTTTAATATTTTTAATACTGATGTGTTGTAAATTAATCTATTTTTAGCTTAGTTTTATTTGCAGCCTCTGGTTGCCCAAGTATTTATTTTAATAGACTATCCATCTGTCTATCTAACATTGGAAAAGTGCAACGTTTGAAGATTCTGTAATCAAATTATCAACCAAATGATAATTAAGTTACCGTGACTTCGCTCCATGGTCATATCGTTCCAAGTCAGATAGACTGTTGCACATTTTCAGGGTAAAACTTGACGTAAAGCGCACTTTTTTGGCTTCTTGGCTTAAAGAACGAGGTATACGTACACGCCATTTTTTTCTGCTCGTGGCCGCTTAAAGACTCGTGAAAAGGTCAAAAGGTCAACTATTGTGCAACAATCTGACTATTAAGTGGAACGATCTGACCATGGAATGGCGTCATCATTGTCTTAATTTGAAGATTAGCGGTGAAGAGTAAACTTGGTTCACTCAGTTTGTTAGCTCTAACCACTAAACTTCAGAGTCATTTTGTGTTCGGTGGTTGTTCTGCGTGTAAACAATGCGATTTTTTATATTTTATTGGCAGCAAGCTAAGGACAGTAAATTCGTAAATGATAGGAGTGCTATTGAACGTTGCGCAAACCCTGGTAACAAGTTTGCTTGGTACTAAAAATCCTTTATTGTTTTTCAAGACTACACTTTAAGACATGAGTGCCGAGGGCAAGTATACAGAATGCTGTTTAAATCTGAACATGAACTCATCCATAGAGGAAAGAAGACTCACTTTTGAAGAAATGGCTCCCAACTGGGATAAGGTATACAGTGCACTAAATAACCTTATTTCCTCTCTGCCCTCTAGTTTTCACCATTCTCCACTATCTCTGCCTGGAAGAGGCTGTCCGCCCCGCCTTGAAAAATTAACCAAACACCTTTCGACAACGGGCCGATTTAACTTTCATAAAGACCTCTGGAACAGTTACTGGGAACATGGAAAAAATTGGCCAGTAGCTGACTGGCGTGTCCTCAGTAACGATCCTGGCGGTCTTTGCGCAAGTTAACTTGGTCCAGTTTCCTCTTTTCTAAGGGTGGTAATGGTATTAGTCTTTTTATTCCTTGTTCAGTTTTTTTACTGATGTTATACCAGTCAGTTGTTAGAGGTAGTTAATGTTATCATAGGTCACTAATGTTAACTAAGTGCCCCAGTGCCTAATTTGTGCCCTCTTTACAATGATCATAAAAAAAGTTAGACAGTAGAGGCCCATGGCGTTTGTTAGATTACCCTCTGTTTGTGCAATTTTCTGTAAATTGAATTTTTGATCTAGAGTACTCTCCTGGTTCCAGAGCCAGTTTGTTCTCAAACTGTTTAAGATCAGGAACCCATCAGTAGGATAAAATAAATTACCCCCAAATTGCGTTTTGCTGAATTCCAGAAGATTTTTAGAGGAAACCCAGAGTGCAAGGGTCCGTGAATACTGTGGCACTTGAATTTCCCTTCACTGATGAAAACCTAAATGATCAAATTTTTTACATGAAATATTAATTGATTTTTTGTGCAACCTTTGCTGGGCTGTGCAAATGCTGCCCGTATACAGTTTGGGCCCTGACATCTCTGAAATCATAATCATCTGGCTTAGGGTGCGTTTAATTGACTGTATCCCGAAATTAGAATAAGCCAAAATTTTGCCACAGATCCTCTCTACCATTGTTTTTGGACTACTGAGAGATGCTATATACATCCTTTTTTAAAGATGTTGTATCAACCAGATTTCTAAATTACACAATAAAACACAGGGTGTGCGAGTTTTATTGATGAGTGGAGTCAGTGTGACTTCTGCTTCACAAATTTTGGAGTCATTTTGGAATATTTGGAGTCAAGTATCACAACGAAAAAAAGCCATTTTCAGAGTTCCAGCATGTGGTCCTGGCATGTATATGTTGTAGTTAATTTTTTATCTCAGGTAATTTTTATTTTCCTTTTGTTGCAACTTCATTAGCATATATTACCATACCCAAAAACAAAAGAAAAACAGAAATTGCCTGAAATAAAAAATTAACTACAACATATACACTATCGTGAGGGATACATGAAGTAGCTGTGGCAGTCTGCTGACCCGGAAAGCTGAAATCCATGATAGCGGTCATCGAGTAAATGTTGATCGTAATTTACCCTCTTCCTACTTTGTCGTGCAGTATAATTCTTTAATTTTGATAATTTAATTAAGGTTTACAACGTTTACAATTAACGCAAATTGTATTTGTTGCAAAAAAAGTAAGGACAAAGTTGTGTTTGTTACCAACAGTTTCTGGAGTCGAAGTGGCTCCCTGTTTGGTTCTGAAAATTTCTAGAGTCGAAGTGACTCCCTCCGTAACCTCTGTGGAGTCATCTGAACAATTTTGGCGTATTTGCAAACCCTGAAAACAGATGGCTGCCTCTGCTGGGTGTTATGGCTGAGCACATAAATCAGTCCTTTGCCGTATCTTAAAATTGCCAGCGTTGCATTCAGTTTTATTTTAGTTGCGAAGGTGTCACCTTCCTTCCATAAGGTTTGAAGCAATTAATGCTAAATCAAGTGATATCTATTATGGGCTACATATTTCGTTGTCGTTGCAGATTAGCGAAAATGTGGGTTACAAAGGCCACTTGCTCTGCGTGGAAGCATTTGATCGTGCTGTGAGCTCCACTGATGTTTATCCTAATTCCACAAAAAACATAAAAATTCTTGATGTCGGAGCGGGCACAGGAGGGATTGGCGAGATGTTAAAATCTAGGGGATACACTAATGTCGACGCACTGGATATTTCCCAGGAAATGTTAAATTTAGCAGCCAGTAAAAATCTGTACAAGAAACTGATCTGTGCTCCATTGACTGACACACATATGAAGGAGATAGAAACTGCTGAATATGATGTGGTGTTGTGTGGGGGCGTCATAGCGTATGGACAAACACCGCCTGGGGCGATTGAGCAATGTGCACGTTTTGTGAAACCTGGTAGGTGCAAAAGGTCTTAAAGCTGAACATTTTAAATGTTATAAAACAAGTTCTGTCGTAATCATCATCATCATCATCATCGCGGTCGTTATTGTCGCAACCCACCATCATCTTCACCATTACCATCATAATGGCTACTTTCCTTTGCAGGGGCCTCTCTGGCCGTGAGCGAGAAATAATAGCGACCCAAGGATGGTGGGAAGGGGAAGAGAGGAAGCCTTTTCCCGCCGCATGTAGCAGCTGCTAGGAAGAGAAGTCACCAATGGTGCATTCCCCTGACCATAAACAATACTAAAACAATTTGAAGAATGACATGTCATTGCTTTCTGCAACCAGTTACAAGAGACCTTACGAGCAGCTCCTACACTCCTCTTTCCCACCTTTTCCCTCTTCCCATCATCCACAGCGCGCTTACTGTTTATTTCGTTTTTTATTGTTGTTATTTTTTTTGGGGGGGGGGGGGGGTGGGGGATACCCAATGGGAGCCTCTGTGGAGGAGAGTGATGCCTGTACGAATAACTAAAAAAAAAAATTAACACAAAAACCATGACAGTTGAATTAAATTGAAATAAACCAACATATCACTCCTTATATACGACAGTGCATTTTTAAGATGAGCATTCATATCTTAACATCTCATCCTAACTTTGCTTGCTTTCAGGTGGCCTGTTTATTTTCACCGTTCGTTGTGAAACTTTTGACCCAGAAGGGCACAACTACGGTGCAACGTGCCAAAAATTAGAAGAGTCAAGGAAATGGAAGCTGATACAAAAAGAAAAACGTGAACAACATTCAAATCCAAACGAGGAACGATTCCGATATAGCTATCTTATTACCTATAAAATACTCCAGTAACATGAACGGTGAAAAGGCTGAATCAATCCCACTTGCTTCGTGAGTGAGCTGATCAAAATCCCAAATTTCTTTTAGTTACAAATTTTGAGGAATACGTGTTGTAATTCAATTTGATTCCTTGCTTCAAATTTTATTCCCTTTGTTTCAAGTCATAATCATTTATTAGCATACCCATTATCAAAGCAAAATATTATTACATTTGGAACAAAGCACAACAAAATAAAAAGAATAACACTTAAGTATACCACTCATAGACATTTTCCCCCGGGGTTTGTATATCAAAAGTTGGCAAGTCCATAGTGTTAACAATGGTTGTTTATTCAATATTTTATGGCTCAATAATGTTCGTCTTTTTCGATTATTATACTTTGTAAACACTATTTCTTGACAAGAAAAAGATGCGGCATTGTTTACCATAATGTTTTAATAGCAAATAAAATTCTTTTCTCTGACGTCAAGGACTTCAACATAATTATTGTTCTATTTACATGTAAACAATAAATTTTTAATCTTTGCCTGATAACTCTGAATGTTTTTTAAAAAACTGAGGTATTTCACAAATTACATGTAACACTTCACTTACAAAATAACTAAGAGAAAATATGGAAAACGAACTGCTCAGCAGCTTCCATTTGAGTGATTGAAAGATTGAATTAATGAGTCAGTAAAAATTACTGCTGTACATCTACTAATTCCTATTGAACCTGACCTGTGTAAGTAAAACCACTCAAGGGTTTCAAAATACAGGCTCTGAAACCATCAATGTCACCTCCTTTCAAATCATTTGTATAAATAAAAATTGCTGTAATCACAGGTGGCCCAAACTTGAAATATGACTTTTGGCACTGTTGCTTAGGGTTAAAAAATATAAGGATTTGTTTGGGAGAAAAAACAATTTATTGTTTCTGTAGCCTACTAATGTAAAAGCATTTAAATAAAAATTGGCTAACCTCACTTAAGTTGTGTGTTTTTTCTCCCTGTTACACAACTTTTTTTGTTTAAATCCAATATTTGTTTAAATCCTTTCACATATTTCATAGGCTACAGAAACAACTGTTTTCTCTCTCATATAAAGCCTTAAATTTTGAACATTACGCAACAGTACCAATGGTCACATCTCGAACTTGGGCCACCTGTGTTATAATTACTTTCCATAGGTATGTACAGATGCCCCCAAAATAGGAAATTTATAAATCCCAGATTTCAAAACTATATTGACTTAACACTCGTACAGCAAATGGGCTACTGTGCTGTTAATTCACCCAAGGTTTGCTAAAGAACAACGTATTCCTCTGGAGGTGGTGAACAGCTTACTGCCCCATCTACACTTGGAGCATTTCCTTGTGATTTCTCGAGTTCATGTCCAGGCCCTGTGCTCTCTAAGAGGCTCTCAGACAGGTCTGCACTGCGTATCATGCTGTCAGGGGCCGGCGGTTTAGGGTGTGATGCAAATATAAACATTGGATAGTCTCCCCGCTGCATTGGCGGCCGTAATACCTAAGTAACAAAACAACAATACTTCTACTCTAAAACTGTCTGTCAACAGAAAAATTAGCCTGCGAGCAGGCTAACTTGTGTAAATTTGGGGAAAATTATTTGGGCGGCGGAGCCGGCATCTTGGGCCATTCTCCTCACGTGATGGCCGCTCTGCCGCCAAAACTTTTCCCCGAACTCACACAAGTGAGTCTGCTTGCAGGCTACAGGAAAACTCAAGAGCAAAAACTGAACATCACTTGTCGAAGGTGTCTGGTTGTAAGTGAGTGTCTTGCCTAGGCGAGAGTTCTCTTTTTATACATTAATGTACTAGATTCGGGATTCTCTGTCAGTGGAACTTGGATTGAGATTCCAATCGTTACCAGGACTCCGGATTCCACAAGCAAAAATTTCCCGCACTCCAACAAGGAAAATTGGCCCACCCTAGGGATCCCGTCGAAGGAGTTCAAGATCAAGTTCTTGGAGCTTCTTGTTCCAATTCTCGATTCAGCCGATTTCAAGAACAATTTTATTCTGTGGTCATGAAGGACAGAGTCATTGTCAAGGGCCATGAAACAAAGAGCAGAGTTTGTTTGTATCACAGCAAGAGGATCATCCAATGGTCACTTGTCAATATACAGGCTGATCAGTGCGTCGTGATGGGGAACTGGGAAATTTGAAACTTGATGGAAATGGAAAAAAGGTAGTGACAGAGCGGAGATTTTGTTTTGATTAGGCTGCAAAATTGTTCCATAAATTGGGGGAAGGTTGTAGCCCTGATCACAGCAAACGTCACCACTGGTGAAGGGATCCAGATCGGTTTGGAAAGCTCTGCTAAACTTTCAACAAATTGGTGGTGTTGAAGAATATTTTTTATAAAAAAGTCAGTGTCCTGTTTGGGATAATAATGCTTGTTGACAGAGCTTACTTCTGTTGTTTGCTGACGAAACTTCTCGAATTCAGCTTTAGTTTCACAATAAAATCCTATAGTACATGAGGGATCCATCTTTTTGAATGACATGGTGCGGGGCTGAAAACTGTGAAATGACTGGCCAGAAAAAACAAACAAGCAAAAATTAACAAAACAGAAATCACTGGCGTACTAACACATGTAAGTACCTCCCTATACTGCTCTCGAATTTTAGCTGATAGAATTTTGGTACCCTATCTAACAATCACATCGAGAACACAGTCCTAACGAGGAAAAGAATGATATCCTAATAAAGGATAGACACCCTAAACAACACACATCCTATAGTGGCAAATACCTTTGTAGCCCATATGTAGGATTAGCCCTCAGGACTATTACCGATTTTATGACCACAGGGAAGGAAAAAACTTTTGGGGGGTAAAACAATTACCCAAAAATAAGGACAGAAGCAAACATTTGAACCAACTACCCACAGGTAATTTACAAGCATGGCCAGCATGGAGGGTTGCACTAGAGTCTACTGAGAAAAAATTAACCTTTTAAGTCCCAATGGTGTCCAACATCAATATTCTCCTAACACTATCCATATATTGTTAAGAGATAAGGTTATGAGAATTGATAAAAATGATCACCAAAGAGAAAATACCTTGATCTTTTACCAAATTCTCTCAACTCATTCTTTAATGAATGTATGAAGACCAGTTTGGAGAATTTGTATGTGGATATTGGGACTCAAAGGGTTAAGCACTACATGTATCCCACTCTGCCTCACCCAATTTTGGTCTGGTTTTTATACAAAATATAATTACCTCTGTGGGAAAACTATTACTTGACATGTCCACTGCAGATTGACAATAATGCGGATCTAAACAAACCATTTTATCATCTGTTGAAGAAAAAAGATTCTTTTGCTCAAAATAGTGGACAAAGAGAAAAGTTTTCAAAAGATTCCAAATTTGAAAACTTCTTCTTCTTCTAACTTCTTAAAATTACCTTGGAAACCAACAAAATAAAGAGAATGTCTTGGGCGGCCACCAATGATTCCAATACAATGATCTAATGTTAAAAGAGCCTGAGGAAATACATCATCATTATTTTAATGATTGGACATAAAACAAGACTGGAGGAATTATAACCATGTGTATGAAAAAATGCTTAAGATCAGCGCATGACTTCTTTAACAATAAAAAAAGTTGCATACTTTGGTGACAAAAATATCAGTAAGTTTTCAAACTTCAGTCTGAGGAAATTGCACATTAACTCAAATTAATAATATTGAGAAACACAGCCACACCAGACACAGAAAAGCATATGGGAGCTGAAGAGCCACTTCACTTTTTAACAAAAACAGATTTAGCCAATCATAAAAAGAGGAAAATAACTGAAACAGAAACAGGAATGGAAACCTTAAAACTGGATTTCTGTTAGATTGAAACTGAAAACATGACTTTTAAATAAAAACAACAAACAGTTGCAGCCTTTAAGGAAACAACATGTAAAATGGGTTCTCCTACCTGAACACAGGGTATATAAATAGGATTTAGAGCTTCTCCTCCAAGCCGCACAGGAACTAATATTATAACAGACTGCCATTTACCACCAGAGCAATTCCAGTTATGCGTTCTGCAGCTTGTACATAGACGTTCCACCTCATCTGTATACACTGTGAAATGAGAGTGCTCTAGTTACATAATACAGGGATGGAAACTCGGAAGAATACTGTTTTGGTGAGCAGTGAAGTTGTAGTGTTAAGAGAATTCATTAATTCCTCCATTATCTGGCCTGGGTTTGAGTCCTGGAGGGATGTCATATGTGCATTGAGTTTACTGTTGAGTCTCTTCTCTGCTTGAAGAGATTTTTCTCCAAGTACTCTGGTTTTTCTCCCTCCTTAAAAACCAACACATCTGATAACACAACCAATTTGATTTGGAAAGCGTCTCCAATTAAAGGGGCTGTGTCACGGCAGTCCAGTTCATTTTGTTTAATTTTGCCAATTACTTGCTCTCAATCATTATGGAACTTAAAGTAAGCAAAGAAATTACATGTAAATGACAAAATCGGAGATCTGAGACAAACAAGTATGTCTCCTGAGCATTATATTAGAAGTTGCAAGCTGCAGGGATCAACTTTAAAAAACTGTTAGGCTGAACAGTTTTCAAAAACTCTAATTTCAATTCATTTCAGTCTTCTTCAGTTTTGCCCATCTGTGGCATCTGTTGTTTCTGTTATGTTATTTTAACCTTCCTTTAACGTTTTAAGCAGTTATTTTTATGTTTCTCTTAATTTAACGGGCATCTTGTAATTTCCTAATTTGGCGTCGTGACACAGCTCCTTTAATTTAAGACACTAAGCAGGGCTTCTGATATTTCGCGGAAAAAAAAGCAAAATTTTGCGGGTCATTTTCAGGGGCAAATTCGCGGAAAAATCGGCCGATTTCGCGGGATTTTCGCGGGAGAAAAGTCAAAATTCGCAGAAAAATCAGCCAATTTCGCGGGATTTCAGCAGAAAAAAGTCAAATTTCGAAGGATGTTCAGGGGCAAACTCTTACAAAAATCGGTTGATTTCACGGGAAATTTCGGGGGGAAACTTTGCCAAGAAACAATCAGTAAAAAACAGCTGATTTTGTTGGATTTTTTTGGCAAATTTCGCTAAAATCAATCAATTTTGCGTCGATATGACCAGCGTTGTTTAACGGTTTTTTAACTGGGATAATCATTCGCTCTTTCAACAACAGTGCGCTCGAGAAATGAGCGAATGCTAAAGCTATTAACATTATGGTTAGTGCCCAGTTTTTCACAACGTTCATCTTAAAACGCCTGGTAGTTTTGGGACGCTGTTTACTCGTCGCAGTGACGAAGTTTCAAGATAAATTTGGACGTTTAGGGTGAATAAAACAGGTCTAATAGCCAAGATAAGTATTAAATAAGTTTTGCCGACATGTATTTGGAAATATTTCTGGCGAATTTCGCGGTATTTCGCGTTTTGGGGGGAATTTCGCGGGATTTCGCGGAAATACCTGAATTTCGCGGGTCCGCGACCGCGCGAAATATCAGAAGCCCTGACTAAGGGTTACAGGTTTATCAGTTCTTAACCCTTCAAGTCCTAAATGTGACCAACATCAATTTTCTCCTGCAATACCAATAGATAATCAATAAAAAAAGTTATGAGAATTAATAAAATGATCACTTAGGGGAAATTCTTTGATCTTTCAAAAATATTCTCTCAACTACATGTATTATTGCGGGAGACAAGAGGAGCACGCAACCCTAATCTCCTGGTCATTATTACGCATGTGTCGCATGTACATATACACCCTTCATTTGGACTTCCAGTAAGAATGAATGGAATGCACAGAATGCAATTTGATCACTCGCATTTGGACCTTCTATCACTCGTAATCTGATCACGCGTGTTTTGACTATCTGTCACATGAAACTTATGCAAAGCGCAGCGATGGAGCAAAAGTGTTTTGACCTTTGATCGTTGTCGCCCGCACTCCGTAACCTTTGGTTATTACTAGTTGTTAAAGGAAATGTGTGGGAAATTTGTATGTGGATCTTGGAATTAAAGTGTTTAAAGTGCTACAGTGTAAGTGCCAGCCTCTCCGAATAAAAGAATAGTTTATTAACCTCACTAACTGCTTATTAAATTATACTTTGTAATAGTTTTTTTGAGAGGAGATTTTCCATAAAGAACCAACCTGTACAGTCTTGAGCTACATAAATATTTACATCGTGGAGAAGTGGATGTGTTCCACCGGCCATTGCAAGTCTTTCAAGGATGAAAAAGAAAAAAAGAGAGAAAACTACTAATGTCAGTATTTGCTTGGGACAGAAAGACTGAATATTTTCAATGATCAGTGCCTCCAAGAGTAATATCTTTATGGATCATGCGAACATGTAAGTTGTCCACTTATGGGAGGTTGGATAACCTTTAAACACGAATAGAAGCCAGAAATTACTGAGGCTGCAGTTTGGTGTCCTTTAATGGTAGGTGTCATTTAATAAGAGATGTTAATTGATGGCAGGGAGGGGTGTCGACTGATGGAAGGTATCTGCTTTTCTGGTTATGGGAGGTATCCATTATAAGAAGGCAACCACAAAGGAAGTTCTGATTGTAATAATTTCATTATAAGATGTAGCTAAAGACTGCAGACTTGTCTTACCTGAGAATATGAGCAACTGAGGCAGGTCCATACCAGTCTCCAGCCTGCTTCCCAGTTTGTTTACCAATTGAAACAAGGCGAGGGAGAGAGAATGGACTGAGCTCCTCATCTTCCAAATCTCCAAAGAATCTAAGAATCTTCATATTAAAGGGATGATACCATAGGTTAATAAACTAGGCACATGTAATCAGCTTTCCCCATGGGTAGGATATTAGAAGGGCATTGTAAAATGGATGGAGCAAGTTAATGATTTGCCGCAGGGGTGGAGGAATTTAACAAGACAAAGTCCCCTGGTTCAAGTTCTTCTCAATGAAAAATCCCCCCCAAAATCTTCCTCATATAAATGGGATTTATTTGACTGAGGGGACTTATAATTTTATAAAAGTCTTCATGATACACAACCGTAGCTGGTGCAATTTGTCACACACGACTGTTAATAAAGACCACAAGATTTTGAACTCCCTGGCTCCTTATCTTTGAAGTTAAAACAATGTCATCAACTTTCCCATCCCAAGGGCTTGTTTTGTCCCAACGTATTCCCCTGGTTGGACTGGAGTCCTACCTCAGGGGGAAGATGAAGATGTGCATTATGCTGTCATATTGTTAGTGGTGATCATGACGAAACTGATAGTCCTTGGTGAAGTTTTCATCAAGCTTTCTTTTAAAAAATAGCTGAAATTTCATTACTCTCACTACCACCATGATGGAGAGGGGAAAGATTAACCAGTTAATAAAACAATAACCTGTGAGGAAAAGATCTAATTTTAACCCCAGAGACTTCCTGATGTTATTAGTGTTTTACAAATTTTCTTAGCTGAGTTAATTAGTCAATATGGATTATGACAACAAATTTGAGCTGGATGATCACGTAAAATTCTCCTGTCACACACCAACAGAAGCAATGTCTCTAGTTCAAACTCTTTGCTCTTGTTAAGCTGACATTCTTAGGATCCAAATCAGCTTTAGCCCTTAATCCTCTCAAAGCGTCTGCATCCTTGGTAAATCAGCAATAGACCTCTGTATACTTAGTCCTCACTTACTGTTCTGTAAAAATGTTCTTGTTCTCTGCTGTGGCATCTTCCAGTTTTTCTCCAATCTGTGAATAAAAGAAATTTCTATTTGTAAGTGCAAGTTAATGGTACATTAATTTTTCACCTTGGCCAATATTAGGAGTGAAAGTTTTAAACAAACCTTACCAACAAGTGTTTTCAATATTTTTGTGTAGTAAACAAAAATTTAATTTGCTTTCAATAATAATAATAATAATAATAATAATAATAATAATAATAATAATAATAATAAGACCACTTTCACTGAAATTATCTGAGAAATCAGCGTGCAAAGAAAGTACTGTCCGATAGCCTGGGGCTAGTGGATTTTGCTATCGGGCTAGTGAATTTTGTTTTTAGCTTGCCCGACGGGCAAGTGATGTTTTATGAGGAATTTGAATAACAGAAGAACAAAACGTTTTTGGGGCTGGTTGAAATAACGTCTGGGCTAGTAAATGCTAACTTGAGCTTACCCGAATGGGAAGCTGTAAAAATGATTGTCTTTGCACCCTGGAAATGGTCCTACGTTATGACAAGACATTGGCAAAAATTAAACCTGCTATTACCTCTTTTGAGAAAGTGGTAAACTAGCCCAGTTGCAACCATCATTTGTCCGCTGCGTAGCATACATCCCCAGCCACAGTCTGTGGTTAAAGCAGAATCCCCAAGTTGTGGGATTTCTCGCCGGTACGTCAACCAGATTAAGGAATGATAGTCTCTCTGAAACTCATCCATACTTAAAACCTTGCATTTTTCTGTTGACTGTACCCCACTGAATTCTATAGTGAATAAAGATTCATTGTACATTTTTATATGCCTGTATTGAGAGGGGGGAGGGGCAGAAGGGTGGGAGGGTGGGGTACCTTCTTAAAACTGGGAAGCTGCTTGTTGAAAAATTCCAAAAAAGCACCCCTAAAAGGTACCAGGATCTTGCCAGTGGTGGGTGTGTCTTAAACAATGATATACTTTATTTGTACTGTTGTGAATGTTAGTTATGGTTCAAATTTATCCTTTTTTCAGATTTTATCTTCCTTAAGTTCTTGGGTATGGTAATGTACATGTATAATAACTAGTATAAGGCAATGTAATAAATTTTAATCCAGGATAAAAATTGAACCATAACAGATCTTTATTATGCCATGAACTTATGCTATGCAAAATGTAAGATGACTATGACATACAGTCCCCCACTACTACCAACCATGATTCCTTGCGTGATAACATCTGCCAAGAAGCCATATGGGTGAATCCTCTCTAAAGTGAGCCTTCAAGGGCACAACAAAACCTGCAAGGCAAGACATTACAATTTATAGAATAACTAAGATAGTACTGATTGGCCGAGAGGAGTGTTTGCGTGAGAGTATGTAAACATGGTTGTGGCATCAAGATGTTTTGCTTTTCGTGCGCTAACTGTCTCGCTAATTGAGTTCAAAACTTGACAAGTTTACTTTATTTACCCATTCCTTCGTCAGCTGAAACTTGGAAAATCGTTACAAACAAGGTGTGTCAATTTTTTTTTTGCTTAAGGTGACATTTTAGGTGGGAAAAATCCGTATTTTGGAAAGCATCTTTTTGCAAAACAAGAACTGATTATGCATGCAAGACTTCGTGTACAAGACTTTGTGACTGGTAAGAATTTCTCTTTTAATCAGTACCATAACAAAGAATTTTGCATTTTTTCTTGGGAAAGTTATTTTATAAAAGCAATAGAAAGTTTTTTTCCTGTGTTTGCATAGCCTGATATAAACACTTGAGGGGTTGGGAGAATTCACGACAGTTATGCAAACCCAAGACCATAACTGTCGCAAATTCTCCTAACCTCTCTGGTGTTTAAATCAGGCTATGTAAAGGCAGAAAACGTTTTCTATTACTAAATACAAAGCTCTAGTGTATGAATTGAATGAGGCCCTGTTAGGGTAAAATTCTGACAAGTGACATGACCTTGAAACAGTTCCATAAGACAAGATGAAATGGCAACAAACAACATAACAATGCATTAAATGCCGACTGGGACTTGATTTACTCCTCATTACATGAAACGACCATATTTGAAATTCAGTCTCGGGACATACATTCCCCTTCCCCCCCCCTTATAAGAGGGCCTCTTCAATATAAACAAAGAAAGAATTTTCTTAACATTATACAAATTATTCAAATCTGTACATGAGTAACTTTTTGGGCAGATTTCCTTCGTCAGGTAATTTTTAATGCAATAACATAAAGGTGTGTAGGTGGGTGTAATTTGTTTGTGACAAAGTGTACTGTCAGATGCTGAAGATTAAGCGTAAGTTTTTTCTGAACTGAAGACTAAAATCGATCATCAACAGACATGCATTTGTCACAGTTCAGTCTGGTTCTACATTTTCTCCCGTTGCCTCAAGGCCATAATGATACATTAATTGTCTTATAAACAAAGGGGTAAGTAGATCCAGGGGAAGAATAAAACACATCTCTCATCCGTCAGCTGAAAGCGTGAAAGAGATGACCAACAGTTTAACTAACCATGTCGCATGTTATTCCACATTGATAACAATCTGATCTTCAATTTTTCTCCATCAAATATCTCATCATCATCGCTATCACTAAAATCTTTATATTCCCTTGATTTCTGCCTCATAGCGTTTCTGAATCGACCGGAGCTTGAGCTGGCTCTTCCAGGTGAGCCCGCCGCCATGTTGGAATTTTGTTTTGGGGTCTTCTTGGGGCTTTATGCAAGAGCATCTCTGAGCCCTATGAATCAGGGCACTGTTCACAGGAACACCAAGCAACAACAAGCCGCTCATGTGTTTTTCCTCTCGCCTTGTTCGCCCTTGAAACAAAAAAAAGAAAAAAAAAAAAACGCCTGATCGCAGGTTACTCGGATCGTGGCTTGCTCCCCGCCGGCGCGGTTCGAGCGGCTACGAAGCCCGGGGGGGACGGGTACTTTAGGAATTTCAGGTTGGGGATGTGCCGCTGGGACCCTGGATCCCTTCACATATACCAAAGCTAGTTCAGCTGAATTTTGTTACCCTATACTAGAGTAAACTCCCCAAATCCCCCCTATCCTAGAGTAGCTGTTTCCCTAGTCTAGCTAATCAGTTTCTTGAAAAATGATGCCCTATTCTAGGCCCAAACTCTCTGATTTATATACCCCATCCCAGAGTAAACTGCTTGAAAACCATACCTTTCACAGCGGCACATACCTATATAGCCCATATATGGCAGTACCATCCCCCGAGCTACGAGGAAGACGAAGCAACAACCACCTTTATCGATCTTACAGCATACCGATATTTTAAAAAGGAATTTTAATACCGTTATATGGTACAAGACTACTTACAACCGTAAAGCACTTTTTAGCGTCTCTCACACTGGAAACTACAGTTAATTTTCATACATCTCCGACAGAACCAACCAAACCAAACCAAACCAGTTTCGAAGCAGGCCCACGCAAAGACCCTATCTATTTATGCAAAGATTCAAGACAGGGTTCCTTTCTCTCTCTGGATAAGTTGCTAACTTCCTCTGAAGCTCCCAAGAGACGGACTCCGGAAATTGAAATTCATAATTGCGTGTTCACTGTATGTGGATTGTGTAAGGAGTGACAGCTTCAATTTTGAATTTTCCTTTTTACTCATATATTCTTTAATGTCATCCGCCAGTCAAGGACACCCACTTGACTTCAATTGCTTTTATCCAAAGGGTTTGGAATTCTATGGCGCCCTTTGTTCGTGATGATTGCGCCCTTTATTTAGAAGTAGAGATTTCTTAAAAAGATCTTCTGTTCCTTTCATTGTGTAATTTCCGCCGAATTAAAACAGTGCCTTATTTACCACGTGACTTGTTTGGCGCGAAGCTACTGACCAATGATCGTCTCACCTTTATTTTCACGTGCGCAGTAGCAGAAAGCTCTTGTTCGTCAGAAATATCACATCTCTTCTGATTTCGGTTCTCGGAGGCTAGTTGTGTGATCTAGGTCTCCGTTTGTTTCTCTTTAAATCCCTCCGAGAACGAAGTCTAACTGTACCTGGCTGGATAAAGCAGCTGTGTAAAGTTTTTTTAAGAACTAAATTAAGTCAAATCATACTTTAAAAGTTGAAAGAAGCATGTCGGATGATTGGGAAGATGGCGACTCAACCGCGGTGAGTGTCTGATCTGTTTTCTTTTGTCGTAAAACTTTCCTCCTTTCGGTCTGCTTTATCATTTTGTTTTGAGATGACGGCTACCTGTTATTTGCTAGACTTCATTCGGCGGTGGAGGAGGATTTGGCAAAGGCCGAGGGTTCGGAGTTTTGAGCAATGGAAGTCCCACAGAAGAAGCTCCCAGGCGTAAGGGATTCGGCCGTGGTGGATTTGGCGCTCCAAGTAACAACGAACAAGTGAATGGCTGGGACAATGGAAGCCAGAGTGCTTTTAGTGGAAACAAGGGCTTTGGTCGTGGCGGCGGTGGAAATAGCGAAGAAACTGATAGGTCTGCACGTGGCTTTGGCAGTCGTGGTGGTGGGGGTGGTGGATTTGGCAGCCGCGGGGGATTTGGAAGCGGCGGCGGAGGTGGAGGTTTTGGAAGCAAAAATGATGATGAAGAGGAAGAAAGTGGCTCAAGCTTTGGTGGTGGAGGCTTTGGAGCGAAAAAACGCGGTGGATTTGGGGGAGGTGGTGGTTTTAAGGGTGGTGATGATGGGGAAGATGGAGGAGGTAGAGGTGGTGGATTTGGCGTTAGTAGTGACAGTGCATGTCGTAAATGTGGAGAGGAGGGGCACTTTGCCCGAAATTGCCCTCAGGGGGGTGGTGGTGGTGCATGTCACAAGTGTGGTGAAGAGGGTCATTTTGCTAGAGAGTGTCCCCAAGGGGGTGGTGGTGGTGGTGGTGGTGCATGTCACAAGTGTGGTGAAGAGGGCCATTTTGCTAGAGAGTGTCCCCAAGGGGGTGGTGGTACTGAACCAGATCCAAGTAAGTTTATAAATACCGTAATATATCAGAACTGTGGTCGTGGAAAACTTTCTTTTTCTAAAGTTTCATGTCAATGATGTGAGTTTACTTTCAGTTTTAAGGTGGAAAATTTTGAGCATGTATAAACTGTTTCCTACAGATCATTCTGAAATGTGTTTACTTCATGTATCTACTTTTTAAACAGAAGCTCTAGCTCAAATTAATATTTGTTGCAAACAGCATTGATATTAATGATGTTTTAATGAGAAGTGATTTACAGTGCTACTAATATAGAAAGTATGGTTTAAAGGGACACGGTCAACTAATGCATATGCGCATTAGATACCATTTCGTTTGCTGATTTGCATGTCACAAGATACACCTGTGACCCTGACAAGTATTGTGACTGTGACGAATGTGGTGACCCAGAGAAGTGTTGTGACTGTGACAAGTGTTGAGACTGACGAGTGTTGTGACCATGACAAGTGTTGTGATCCTGGCAAGTGTTGTCTCTGACGAGTGGTGTTACTGTTATGAGTGTGGTGACTCTAATGAGTGTTTTTCTTGTCATGATCATGTTTGACTGTAGCAAAAATGTAAATGTTATTTTGGCTGATGTTAATGAAAAGTGCAGGAGAGGAAAATCTTTCTTTGAGCCTCTAAGAGGTTTGAAACATTTGCCAAATCTTAAAAAGTTTTGTTTGTTTTCTTTCCTAAAAGATCGACCTGCTCCAGTTACGTATGTCCCTCCAGCTCCATCTGAAAGTGAGGAAGAGATGTTTCGCTCCATTGAACGTGGTATCAATTTTGACAAGTACGATGAAATCCCAGTGGAAGTTACAGGAAGAGGGAAAGAGGCAATAACACCTCTCCGAACCTTTCGTGATGCCAATCTGTACGAAACATTTCAGATGAATGTTGACAAGGCTAATTATACCAAACCAACGCCAGTACAGAAGTATGCTATACCAACTATCATGATGGGGAGAGATTTGATGGCCTGTGCTCAAACAGGATCTGGAAAGACGGTAAAAGGTTGAATTTGCTCTTGTTGCGCAGTTTGTTAAAAAAATGTTTAAACCTAGAGTACCACTCAAAAGTAAGTTGACAGTCACTTGCGTCTTGATCCTCGAGACTTGAGACTTGATTCTCAAAACTTTTGAGGATCAAGTCTTGCATCTAGAGGATCGAGGATTGAGTTTCAAATCTTGAGTCGAGAAGTATTATGAACTTGTCGTGAAAGAGCACTCTTAAAAAAGTGCACATTTAACCTCTCATTCCAAAAAATCGCTGTTCCGTGCATTGGGTGAGATTTGTTCGCTTTCTTGTTAAGGAAGGGTGCTCTTAGGAAGCCAAAATGATCTGGAATGGTCTCCTCTTTATAAAAGACCTTCTGAAACTTTCTTTTTAGAATTGAAGGCATACATGTGCGTAAAATACATGCAAAAGTAGTGAAAATTGAGCCTCCGTTTGAAAGTAAACAACAACAAAACATCTCATACAGGAAACGACTGTATTAGTATTGCACATGCACATCTTTTGTACGTCAGACTAGTGGTAAAAAAAGAGCTTCTGTTTAAAAGTAAACTATAACTAAACGACACTGTAGATAATCGTACGCAAAGCAAATTTTTCAACCATAAATCTTCTTTAATCGTTTCAAAACAAGATCCCAGATTCGCTTGCTTCGATTCGAAAACTAGATCTTATCTATCTCACAAATCAATACCACAAGGTCTGTCTGTCTGTCAACTTCGAATCACATGACAACTGTTTTTTCGACGTCTTCCTGCTTGTACATCCCTTGTCAGTTGCCTTGTGACTTTTTCCTTGAGAATTTATAAAATGATCACAAAGAGAGAATCTTGGATCTTTTATCAAATTCTCTCAGCTAATTCTTAAAGGAAATGTATGGAGATCAGTGCATGGAGAATTTGTATGTGGATATTGGGGCTGAAACTAGTACCAAGTAGAACGGGGTGTTTTTGTAATAATTGAACACTTCAATTGCAAAAAATTCCCTGTCCTCCTAATTTCCTTTATGGAGGGGATGTTTTTGCACGTAGCATTTCAGTAATATGGGGGAAATTTTCTATTATGGAGCCATTCAAAGTGTAGCAATTCCATTTCTTGGTATCTTTAACTCCTTTTTTATTCTGCTTTGAAAATTATTTTTTCTTTAATTCATATTTTACAAGTGATAAATTTGATACCAGCATTATTATTTTCTCATTTTCGTTTGACACTAAGTTGTCTAAGTCTTGTTATCAACTTTTATTTTCTGTTTTTAGGCGGCGTTTATTTTACCTGTAATGACAGGGATTATGCAGCAAGGCTTAACCAGTAGTGCCATGACTAATCCCCAGTGCCCACAAGCATTATGCGTGGCACCTACACGAGAACTTGCCAGTCAGATACATAATGAAGCAAAGAAGTTTGCCCATAAAGCTATGCTACGGCCTGTAGTTGTTTATGGGGGAGTCAGTGTAGCGCACCAATCGAGGCAACTTGAAAGTGGATGCAACTTCCTCGTTGGAACACCAGGGCGACTTGCAGACTTTATTGCGAGAGGAAAGGTAAGTGTTTTTTAGCACGTGGTGGACTCCTTAAAGTCAGGGGTCAATTTGATAAAACTTCTTCAAGTGTAATTTATAAGTGTAGCTATTGTTTCCAGACTCTTAAACAGTGGCTGAAATTGTGAATTACAAGTATAAAAGTCTTGTTAAATTGACCCCAGGATGCCCTTGGGGCCAGTTCCAGCCATTTT